TCCCCCTGCTTGTGTTCCCACTCTCGCTGTGTCTCTCTCTGTGTCAAATAAATAAATAAAATCTTTAAATAAATAAATAAATACATATATACATACATACATACAGACAGACAGACATATAGATGGCCAACAGGCACATGAGAAGATCCTACTACCACTAATCATCAGGGAAATGCACATCAAAACCACAATGAAATATCACCTCCCAGCTGTCAGAATCGCTAGAATCAGAATGACAAGAAATACACATACTGGCAAAAATGTTGCATTCCTACTGGTGGGAATGCAAATTGGTACAGCCACAATGAAAACAGGTATGGAGGTTACTTAAAGATTAAAAACAGGAAAACAAAACTGGAAGTATCGTAATTCCAGACTTCAAGTTACATTATAAAGCTACAGTAACCAAAACAGTATGGTGCTGGCACGAAAACAGACCCACAGGATCAATGGAACAGAACAGAAAACTCAGAAATCAACCCACAATTATATGGTCAATTAATCTTCAATGAAGGAGGAAAGAACATACATACAAAAGAATGAAACTGGACCACTTTCTTACACTCTCTACAAAAATAAATTCAAAATGGATTAAAGACTTAAATGTGAGACTTGAAACCATAGAAATCCTACAAGAGAGCACAGGCAGTAATTTCTCTGACATCGGCCATAGCAACATTTTTCTAGATGTCTCCTGAGGCAAGGGAAATAAAAGCAAAAATAAACCACTGGGACTACATCAAAATAAAAACCTTCTGCACAGCCAAGGAAACACTCAACAAAACTAAAAGCAACCTACTGAATGGGAGAAGATATTTACAAATGATATATCCAATAAAGGGTTGGTATCCGAAATATATAAAGAACTGATACAAAAAATGTTGGCGGGGATGTGGAGAAAAAGGCACCCTCTTGCACTGTTGGTGGGAATGCAAACTGGTACAGTCACTGTGGAAAACAGCATGGAGGTTCCTCAGAAAATTAAAAACAGGACTACCCTATGATCCAGTAATCGCACTACTGGATTTTTACCCCCAAAATACAAAAAACACTAATTCAAAGGGATATATGCACCCCTACATTTATTGCAGCATTATTTACAATAGCCAAACTATGGCAGCGGCCCAAGTGTCCATCGACATATGACTGGATAAAGAAGATGTGGTACAGACAGACAGACAGACACACACACACACACACACACACACACAAATATGGTATATACTACTAAGCCATAAAAAGGAAAGAAATCTTGCCCTTGGTGACTTCCTGGATGAACTTAGAGGGTATTATGTTAACTGAAATAAGTCAGACAGAAAAACAAATACTGAATGACTTCATTTATGTGTGGAATCTAAAAAAACAAAACCAACAAACAAAACAGAAACAGATTTATCGATATAGAGAAACAAACTGGTGGTTGTTAGAGGACAGGAGGGATGGGAGGATAAACAATATAGATAAAGAGGATTAAGAGGTACAATCTTCCAGTTATAAAATAAGACGAAGGGATACAATGTCTGGCATAGGGAATACAATCAATAATACTATAATAATTTGGTATGGTGACAGATGGTAACTAGACTTAGTCAAGTGACCATTTTGTAATATACATAAATACCAAGTCACTATGTTGTACACCTGAAACTAATACAATATTGCATGTCAATTATTCTTTAATAAAAAAAATATTAACTTCTGAGGCATCTGGAGGGCGCCATCTGGACAGATGTCAACTCCTCTCACCCTCTAAAAAGGAGAATTCATCAGACTTTAAATAACTGTAAATTCTTCTCTAAAAGGTTTCCCATCCATGTTTGTACAGAAGTAACATCAGAATATAAAATTATCAGCCCCACTTCTAGTCTCTTAGGAGAGAGATGTGACACAGGATAATCACTTACCTGTATTGCCACCCAGTGACAAGGTTGGTGTACTTCATTAGGTAGCCATATACATTTTCCATGTGATCACTGTTTCAAAAAGATCAGAATGCACCAAAAAGTCAATAAAAATTAGAAGAACTATCAGGAAGTTAACTGAACAGTTCTAAAAATAGCTATTGATACATATGTGTTTTACAAATGCCTCAAACTTGCTTCAGAAGTTAAGATTTATAGATTAACAAAGAGGTATTTAATCCCCCAAATTTGATATCCATACGTCTTTATTTTGCCAGATTTCTTCAGAACAAATATAATCCCATGTAAATTATTATATATAATATTTCAAATAGGAAATCATTATATAAATATAAAATTACACAAATATAAAACAAATATACTATAAATATAATTTTAAATAAAAATATTTTATAACAATTCAATACTAAAGAAATAAAATAGTTTTATGGTTCTAGAAAGCCAAAAAAGGTCTCTAAATTGAATAGTGCCTCCTCACTATGGTGGGACACATGAGAGGCCAATCTGTTCTGTCTCTGATTCTTTGGGCTTCCAAAATGAAGGTCCTGTTTTTGATGAGAGTGTGACACCTCACTCCCACTCTACATCAGACAAGTATGAGGCAAAACACTCTCTACAAGTTTTGCCATTGGAAAGATTTTGATTGAGGCCTTATTACAACTGAGTTTTACTTCCTGCTCCATTTTTTCACATATTACACATATATTCTGTTATAGTGGCTCTTGAAAATACAGTGGCTTTTGAAAATCTCACTGATATTTCTTTTCCAACATTTTAAGGTTCCTTATACTTATGAAAAGTAAAGTGAGACCTACATTGACATATCTTGTTGATACATTCTTTTTTTCATAATTTACATTAGAATTCCTTTAAAACTCACCTAAAGTTTTAATTTTACACTATAAAATGCAATGGATATTCATCATTAATTTTCTTTACTATCCCTAAGTCACAGAGCATACTTGATAAAATTTCAGCTAACCAGCACAAAGGAAACTGAAAGAGTGAGACAACCGGCAACTTTTAAAACATGGACATATTAAAGGCAAAAAGCAAGGAAGAGCTGGCACAACTAATAGAACAAAGTTCAAAACAGATTTAGCTTGATCTCAATGACAAATAAAAAGGGCTGAAGATAAAGACTCTCTCTGGAAAATGAAATGACCAAATTGATTATAAGATTCTTGTAGCTATTACTGGGGAGTGAATAGGGGGATGTCTCAGGAATAAACTCAATATTGAGTGTCTTTCTAATCTCATTTCTTCAAAGTGCTTGAAAATAAAGATCAAATCTAAAAATAAAGAATTGAGGGGCGCCTGGGTGGCTCAGTTGGTTAAGCGACTGCCTTCGGCTCAGGTCTTGATCCTGGAGTCCCGGGATCGAGTCCCACATCAGGCTCCCTGCTCAGCAGGGAGTCTGCTTCTCCCTCTGACCCTCCCCCCTCTCATGCTCTCTCTCTCTCTATCTCATTCTCTCTCAAATAAATAAATAAAATCTTTAAAAAAAAAAAAAAAGAATTGAGCCCATGACTATGTTATTTTTTTTCTATATTTTTCTTTCATTCTAAGGCTAGCAAGCAATACTGTTTATTAAGTGAAACTACTCAAGTCCTTCGGGTTTCATAAGGTCACTAATCTCAAGAAGACAAAGGTTATCCACTTCTAAAATGCCAACCCAAAGTTCTGATAGTTATATGTTATGTCATGTTAAAACTGACAGTACCAGCTGAATTCTCATTTCAATACTTTCTAGAGCCCACATCTAGAAGAAAGGATTCTCTGGAAACCCAGCCCCTTGGGTTTTTGCTAGAGTTCATCTAGTTACAGCCCCAGGTCACAGTAAAGCTATTTCTTTCAGTTCCACTGGTACTTAAAAAAGCATGAAGATATTTTTCTTGTCTGGCTCCTACATCTTTCCCAAGCTTCAGGCTTAAACAGCTCTTTGGGGTCACAGGAATCCCAATGCTCATGGATTTTGCCCAAAAATAACTTCCCAGAGTTCTTCCTGTTTTAGGTATTTAACACTCAGCTCAGTGCCCCTCAACTGTTTTTGCCCTCAAAACATTCCTTCAATTATATGTGGACCCTAAAAATGAAAAAAAATTTTTTTTTAAGAATTTTTTATTTTTAAGTTATCTCTACACAAAATGTGGGGCTTGAACTCACAACTCTGAGTGTATGCTCCATTGCCTAAGTCAGCCAGGCACCCCAAAAATGATTTTCAAAAAAAGACTCATAGATACAGAGAACAGATTGATGGTTGCCAGGGGTGGAGTAGTAAGTAAAATGGATGAAAGTGGTTAAAAGATACAAACTTCCAATTATAAAATAAATAAGTCCTGGAGATACAATGTCCAGCACAGTAAGTATATTAAAAATACTATATTGCATATTTGAAAGTTGCTAAGAGAGCAGCTGCTCTTAAAGGTTCTCATCACAAGAAAAATAAAAGTATAATATATATGGTGATAGATATTTACTAGACTTATTGTGGTCATTTCACAATGTATACAAATATCAAATTAAGTTGTGTACCTGAAACTGATATAATGTTGTATGTCAATTATATCTTAATTTAAGAAAAAACTTATTTGTTCATTCTAACCTGTATTTTCCTTATTTATTTATTTATACATACATACATATTCTGCATCCATCCACAAAAAGCCTAAGGTGCCACACGACCTAAATTAAATATTTCTTCAAAGTACCAAAACATTCCATAATTCACCATTTTTGGCTTTCTGAACCCTTATAATCTAGCTTCTCTACATCAAGCCTTCATAACTATACTATGACTATTAGCATAGAACAAAAATATTTTTTTTTTTTAAGATTTTATTTATTTATTTGACAGAGAGAGACACAGCGAGAGAGGGAACACAAGCAGGGGGGGAG